TTTCATGCTACGGGGTCGGTGATAGTGGAAGTGATGGTAGTTGTTTCATGCTACGAATATCGTCATACAAGGAATAAAGTTCAACTTTAATGTACTAGTTACTATTAATTCAACACAAAAGAGATTGATTGCGATTTTTATACTAAATTTAACTACGAAAGCAATAAAATTGGATTTATCAAATACGCAATGAATGTATTGGATATCTGACTCCACCTATTGATGTCTAGTTCTAATTCTCGACTTATGTTAATTAATGAGACTAATGTGTTCGTGACGATCGATAATCTGATAATATTTAATATTCTCTTCCAAGATATGTCAAATCTATATTTAACATGGCTTGATCATATTTCTAATCCGAATTCATATAAAAAAAACATGAATTTAATCATAGAATTATCACAAGCGATCTCACACGACATTAATATTTTTCCTAATATCTATTGCTCGTGTGTCAAATATGCAGTGCTCTACCTATTATGAATTTTTTAACACTACAAATAAAAAACTTATATGTTCCAATTGTGCGCAATCATTAAAGCAAACATAATTAATGCACATGAAATAGTAAACACGAAAATTAACTAAAAATGATAAGTCTTGAATTAAAAACTAAAAATCAATAGGTTTTGTCATCCATCCAATTTATAAAACTATCTAGCTTAACATTACCATATGAAAATTACACAAAAGAATAAGAAAAGTCATCACCCGAAACTAAGAAACTTGAGAAGAATGTGAAAACTTCAATTTTCCGCTTGAAATTTGACCCCAAAATATACAATTCCACTCCTTGAATATAAAAATCTTTATTTTCTTCCTTTGCTATGATAAAAATCGGCTCCCTTTTGTTCTGGACGTGCTCGTCAATTTATAGGATGTCAAAAAGATTGCATTGACTTGTTATCAAAATCAAATACGGAAAATCAGATTTTTTTTTTCCCATTTTGTCATGAGGCGTGCCTACGCTCTCTTGACCTGTTTGGGGTGCTTGAGGCGCCCTCAGAAATGGTTGAGGTGCGCACGAGTGTGGTTTTGGTATCCAAACAGTTTTCAGTATTTTGTCATAACTTTCTATCCCAATATTCGATTGAAATGATTCAAAGTGAGTTAAAAAGTTAATTCGAAGGGATACAATTCTTCTAGAGGTATCATTTTTCCAATTCGAATGTTTGTTGTGCCAACTTTTTGGCTGAAAATTGATGTGTGATAATACTTTGATTATATTTCAGCCGTTTGATTTCATTTCTCATCCAATTGACCCATAGCATATTTCGAATCTTCATCTTGAGGTCCAATACAACTTTTGAGTATTTGCAATTTAGTCTTTGAACTTTGAATTTTTTTTTTTTCAATTTAGCCAATTTTACCATTTTCTCCAATTTTTCGTTCTTTCTTCCAATTCTTCATGCAATAATTGAGTTTTACCTATTAAACACAACATAACACCTAACGTAGGCCATATTTTGTCAAAAGAACATTAAAATGCTATAATTTAAGGTCTCGAATAAGGGTAAAAAAATACACTTATTAGTTGGTAGCGGCAGTAATGGTGTTAGTGGAATAGTGTTTTTAGGGTTTGAAGTGGAATGTGTATTGGGGTTTGGAAAAAAAATGTGTTTAAGTTTAATCATAAATGGTAGTATGAGATTTAAAAAATAAATATAAATAAAAAGATACCATAAATTGGGAATATTTTAACAAAAATGTGTAGGATTGAACCAACGTTTAGCAACCATTAAAACAAAACTCTTTTTTTTTTAAATTTATTTTAAACCACACATTCTCATAATAAAATATTTTGCACGTAACTTCAATACATTTTCTTACTTTTAATCAAACATTTTCCAAAAAAATTATTATTTCAAAATTCATTTTTCCCAAAAATGATTGTCACACTGGCTAAATTTTCACAAAGAAATTTACATATTGGGCCTCCCCTCAAAAGTCCGAAGGTCTACATATATCTTGGACTTAAACGACCCATTTGTACACAACTTTATGCTAAAGTGAAACGGGAGGCCCAAATACTATCAATAAACTTTTATTATTGGGCTTTGGATCCATTATACCACCAAAATGGGCAATCCATAGGGGGTTTAGGAATGTTAAGTCGGACGAGTCGCTTGTCGGCCCCTCTTGTCCTACAAACAAGCCAAGCAGCAAAAATTTAAAGGGTCGTTCGTCGACTCGTAGGAGTTGGATCACAAACTCGCTCACATACAAGTTAAACTTGTCATCGGCTTGTAATTGGTGAGCAAAATGCAATTTCACTATAAAAATATAATTTGACGATTTGGCTTGGCTTGCCCCATGCTGGACAAGCCGAGTTCTAATTTGACGAAGTGGGTTGACTCGCGCTCGGCTCGCCTCAGCACAATTCAGCTGACATGGTGGATTGAGTCGAGCTTCGATTGTGGGTGAGTCAAGTGGCTCAATTTAACCCATTTAATACCCCTAAGTTAGCTTGAAGGAAGATTTGATAAATTTTTTCGCTTCACTCTAGGACAGTGAAAGTCGATTTGACTACAACAATAATGGTGTATTTAATTGACATGTAAAATATTTCATAGAAAATAGAATATTTTCCTTGTTTTGAGGAAAACAAAAAATTACGTCCCCCGGAATAAAATGTTTTTTTCAAAAACGAGGAAAACTAGGTATATTTTCAAATGTTGGAAAATATTTTTCATGAAGAAAAGGACAATCAAACGCTCCAAAAGTTGAAATTTGGGTTGAAAAAGGCCATGGAAGATTTCCCAATCAAACTTTGATCCTTCATCGGTTGAAAATCTGATGAAAGAAATATTTCCATTTTTATCCTAATATCCCCATGCCACTTAGAACATGCTTCGACTTTAAGTCTGCTAATTGGATATTATTTATTTAATTTGTGCATGCAGAATGCATGTGGCCACTTGATTAGTCCTAAGTTTGTTAATTCGTGCACTAAACATACTTTAATGAGACAAAATACTGTGGGATCTCAAATTATTAACAAAAGCCAAAGTCTCCAGCCATTGTCTATACACTCTGCACATGATCCCAGATTGATCTTCTTTTTCGGTCTTCATATAATACTCAAATAAACCACAAGGGTTTTTGCAATATATTATAGGGTTAGTTACTCTTATTAGGAATATGAATCTTGACTTGATTTGAAAAATATATTTATCTTTTATTTTTCAAGTTTTCTAGATGAAATACAGAACGATCTATGCTTTACAATGGGTGTCAACTTCTCGTAAAAGAGTAATTTTTGGATCTAAAAGTAGATGTAACAATTTATCGAATAAAGTGACGAGAATGAAATCGTATAATTGACTCTAAAATTATTGAAATGAGACTTCCGAGCCATTCCTTTTGTTGAAGAAAGATATCCTCCGTATGGAAACTTACAAGAAATTTTCAATGAAAAACAGAATTTGTACCGTTGCTTGTAATGGTGAGCCACAATATTTGACCATTTTGTTTCATAGTGGGCCCAACAATTTAAAAAAAAGGTCAAAAAAAGCCTCGTCTTGTTGAAATAATTGGAAACAAACAGGGGCTTAATATGTTGATGTAGACAAACATAATAAGATTAATTAAACAATAGAGTTTGCAAACTAGAGAAGTTGGGTTTAACTTAGATATGTTTGTACAAACTTCTTGTCACTTGATTGTCTTTACAATATATGTTTGCCACATGCCATATCACACCTCGATGAAGTCCTTTTTGCTAAGAAAGTATGATGTGTTGAAAAATAAAAAATGTATTGATAAGACAGTGAAATGAACAATAAATATGAGATAATATATACTAGTTCAAGCTATGAATATATGGTAGCGAAAGCGTAAAAATACAGAAACGAACACAATATCAACAAATTTTGATTCTTTTGAATACCTATTCGGATCAAAATTGAAGAAGAAATTCAAAATTTAATAAGTTTAAACGAGAACCCAAGCTAAAGATCAAATAATACAAGGCGTGTGGGCCGTGTGGCTATAAGAAAGATCCAAAACCTAACAATTCCCCAGTCCCTAGACTTCTATAAAAAAGACACAGGTTCATAAGTACTAAAAATAAAGACATTCACATAATAATGAAATTAATCTAAGCCATCCGTCTCCCCTTTTCATCATATCCGTATCTTACATTTCATAATGAACGATCACCATCAATAAGAAAGATCCTTCTAAACAACTTCGATTCATTCAGATCTTCAAGCATGTATCACGGTTTCTAAAAATTTCTATCCACTGTAACGTGACATAGACGGGATCATAAAACAACCAACCACTCTAAAGATCATAGAACTTGAGACCTTCAATCGTGTGAAATGCCCCACGGTTTCTAAAATTTTCTATCAGCTCTAACGTGCAAGGATAGAATTGGTTTCATTTAAAAGAAGATCATACAAGAGTGGAGTAAACTCAAGAAGTGTCCACAAAAATATATACATTTTTCTTTGATTTTCCATCAGCTTCATATCATACCAACCATAGTCCTTTCTTTGTCAATTGTCAGCATAAGGTTTGTCAAATGTCCACTTCACGAGAATGACCATTTCCAACCCTTCTTGTTTTCTTCCACTCTTTCCATATCTCTTTGTCCTCTTTCTCCCTTGGAATGTGTGTTTGATTCTCTCTCTCTCTCTCTCTCTCTAGAAATAAGTTCTTTCCAACTTATAAGTGAATTTTCTTTCGGATAATCAAGATGACTTTCACTATTTCGTCTAAAAGTTTAACATAAGATTTTGACACAATTTATGACAAATTTGACTGCATAATGTGTAATAAAAAGATGATCCATATGCATATAATCCTTTATCCCTCAATGAAATTGCCACTTCGTATACCAGCCTAAGTATCAAAACAAGAATTCATAAAATTAAAACATGGTAATAACTGATAATCCATATCTTGGATTAATCAAACTCTTTGTATCAAACATGCAAACGAATTGTAAAAAACACCAATTTAAGGTCAATTAATGGACTGAGATTAGTCCATTAACTGAAATGCTGTTGCTCTAACCATGGCCAAATTCCTGTCTGATCCTCCATGCCACAGAACATATTGCAGAAGCCTTCATCTTTAACAGTTTGGTCCATTTTATGGCACGGAACCTCTGCCGGTCTCAATGAATTCTGGAAGAACTGTGTCATTCCTGTAGGCCTCATTGAAGATGGGAAGAGGGTTCTGCTTGTTGGGTTTGTGATTAAAGGGCTATCAGTTGCTGGAGTTCTTGAAATGTCTAGCCTTATATCAGAACTATTTTCACTTTTGTTACTGCAAGACCCTTCTGTTTCTTTGTTCAGATTAATTGATTCCATTGGCTCCCTATTCTTTAGTGCCAATATCTGCAAACCAGAATTTTTATAGTAATACTCTCAAATCATAAAATAATTAAAGGGTTAACAGTAAACGAGACTTATCGTGGATAATATTATAAATGCTCAAATTATATATAAGAAGATCTATAATAATTGTATTACCTAATGATTTTGAAGAAGCCAACACATATACACTAAGGCCATGTTTGATTGTACTTCAATTTCGTGGAAGATGGAAATTAAATTTCATTTTCCACTTCTTTGCATGTTTGATTGCTCACATTTTTCATGGAATTGGTTTTCCATCTTTCACCAACATGCTCACATTTTCTATTTTCTTGATTCCTAAGGAAAAGTTATTCTCACCACTTTGGTGGGAAAAACTTTTCCAGGCAACTTTTTATTTTTATTTTTTTTTCAATGGAAACAAATTATATCCCCAATTGTAACAAATTATATCATTTTAATGGACAATTTCTATCAAAAATAAAGCCAAACGAACACCAAAAGATCCAAAATTTCAACATTTTTCAGGTGAAAAATTATACCAATTAAACACAATTAATTGACAATTTTCAGTAAAATAAGTTCTCGACAATTCAGTTCCCTGAAATTCATTTTCTTTCCACTCAAATTTAATTATTGCAATTAAACGGATCCCAAGAGGGATTACTATAAAATAATTTAATTTTTATTATGAAATATCAATTTTGTAATAAATCGATTTGCAGAAAAGTTGCTTTTACTGAAAACCATGCACTGTGAGTCTCTGATTGGATCCAGCAGCTAAGATAACATTTAGCCCATGTTTAAAAAATTAAGTTTTAAACTATGGGACTCGAACATAGGGCTTATTAAGATTTTAGTACTATCCAGTTTAACGTATCAAGCTCAACCAGTTAACAAAATCACTAGTACATACCTCTGAGTGGAATTTCTGGTTTTCGGCTTGTAGAGCTTCATTTTCTGCTTTAACAGCTTCAAACTGTCTCTTAAGAATTTCATAATCTTTCTCCAATTGCTTAGTTTTCCATCTTGCTCTTCTATTCTGGAACCAAATTGCAATTTGTCTTGGTTGTAGGCCAAGAGCTCGAGCCAACTGCATTTTTCTTTCGGGTTCAAGCTTGTTACCCAACTCAAAGCTCTTCTCAAGTGTCTTCACTTGCTCCATGTTAAGTCTCCTCTTCTTCTCTCCCATTTGTGATCCGTCGTCCGATAAATCATCCTCTCCACCGTGACTTTCTTCGCAAACATCAACCCCGGAAAACGACATGGTTGATCTCTTGCTTAGAAATGGAGCTATAGCTACATAATAAATAAGTAAATAAATAATCATATTTTTTCAAATATTTGAACATGATAAATTTTAAGGGTATGTCATCAACTAACACGACTCAACAATATAACAAACAAGTATTTTATCTATTTTATATCTTCCTTAACACTGTTTAGTACTGTTCATTCCACTTTGTACACTATGAAATAATGAAAAAAATTGAAGTATACCATGGAAGTGTTGTGGAGGGCAAGAGGGAAGAATTGGAGCGAGAGAGGTGGAGGGTTGGTGGTCATTATCTAGCTCAGGTGGAGTTTGCAGCATGAAATTGGCTGAGTAGAAGGCCATTCCGGTGGTAGTCATTACCAACCACCACTTACGCCACCAGTTTGAACACCGTCTGCGACGGTGATCCAGCAATCATTTCTTCTAGAGAGAAAAGGAGAAAGAACAGCCCAAAGGGACTGTATTTATATATATAATCAGCAAATACAACTTCAATTTGAAGAAGATGCATTCATTGCTCTATAATGGATAGCTTATATACCTTATCAGCTTCAAGAAAAGCTTTGTGGACTGTGAGAGAGAGAAAGAGGAGAGAGAGATGCCATTTTTTCTCTGTGAGAACAAGAAGCAGTGTTTTATACTATATTGCATTTAAGTACTTTTTTACAAGTTAAATTTCGACGTATAATTTATTTTATACTGTGAAGTTGGCAACATTTTTTTTTTTTTTTCTATATGGACAGTTGTCAATGAATTTAGCCTACAAATTTGTAGATTGATTCCTTTGCTAAAGGGGAGAAAATGGGTTAATATAATATATTTTTAAATGGAGAAGTGGGTGACTTAAAAGGCAAAAAATAATTAATTTATGATTACAAAAGTTTCAATTATAAAGGTTGATTTAATTATAATAGGTTTTTCTCATAGGATACTCAATGAGTGATATATGTTATACGTATACATGAGTAACATGGATTCCAAAATAAGAATATAGTGTGGTCACACTCGTATTCTTTAAATATTTAATAACTTTGTTATGCCCGTCTTAGGTACCATTTTTCAACTATTTTGATTGATCAAATGTTCTTAGACCCTTTACTTTTTTTGAGTTAATAGTTGGATCGACTTTTTGAAACGTTGTATTAAACATGTTGTAGACGAGTGATAAATTTGATACACGCGTGTAAGATGGCATCATAAAGAATACGAGGGATGGGTCCGTCGGGAGGGGCAGGGGTTGCCACCTAACCCACCAACAAGCATCGTGCAGCAGGGTTAAGCCCTCTCCCACCTCATTATCCTCTTATCAAGCATTTGGCTATTGATTTAGAGAGAGAAGGCAAAAAATATCCAAACACTTCTCTTTCATAATCCTCTAAGCTGGTCTATTTTGTCTTGGTAACCCCACCCTTAGACTTCTCTTTTCTTCCTTCATTCAATTATGATTTTTTATATGTAATTTTAAAATTAAAACTATAAAATTTTATTATTAATTGCGATCAAGGAACATAACAACAAATTGAAAAGGAAAAAATGATAAATCAAACGAAAGAATGAGCATGAGCGGCACGTCACTACAAACTATTTATGATAACGATATTATACAAACTATAAAAATAATTTGTGGTTGTTTAATGCACGATCAGAGAATCGGATATGAGGTTTGAGAATGTTTAATATGTTATACTAAAAATGTAAATATATATATCTATTTTGATTAATTTTTGTCGACTCTCCCGTCTACCGTACGAAATATGTCCAATAAGTTTTGAAATTTTTAGTTTTCACTTTCTAATGTTAATAATATTCTTCTTTTGTTTGAGAATCTAGTACTTCACAACGTACTATATATAGGTAATTTTCTTCACGTGGGTTAAGATGAAAATTCAACAAGTTTGACAAGAACCCCACACCTCACCCACGCCAAGCAATGTACAAATAATTAAGAATCACATATGCTTACCTATATGTATCCCTAGTACCAATCAATTGATTAATGATTTGATGTCAAACAAAATTATTTGATTAGTCCTAAATTCGTCGATCAAATATGAGACATAATGATGAAGAAAAACGAAAAGAACTTCTAATTTTTCTTCTTCGTTCCTTTGATTTGAGGAGAAAGAGCTTGTTCGGATTTCTATTAATTAAAAATTTCGATTAATTATCATTTTACTCATATTTATATACATCGTGATAGATACATAAGACCTTGGAAGAACCTATATGAGGAAGTCATTTAGTGAATTTCAAATGTTTATTTCCTTAAAGAAATCCCACATTCTATTACAAGATGCAAATTTGAATGTATAGTTTGCATCTAAAACCTAAAAAGAAAAAAAGTGGGATCCACCATCCTTTAAATTTAGGTGATAGTGGGGCAGAGGGACCCACTTTTGTAAATTTAATACTGGCTGAAGACAAGGTAGGATCACTGTATCACATGACTTTATTAGTTGGAACCTCGAAGGGTTCCCCATTGGAATTGGGTGGATCCATGTTCTTGGCTCCTACTCTCCTGCTCAAATTTGAATTATTGTATACATAAATTGATACCCATTACTTCAAAAAAAAAATAAATAAATAAATAATAATAATAAAGATTTTTGAATAGTATTGCTGTTTGATTAAAAAGTAATAAAAAGTTATAGGTTTACGAGCAAAATATTTTATCGTGTAAATATATGGTTGAAAATACAAAAAGTGTTTTAAAACAATAGACACCAAGGAGAGACATATACGAATAGTCTATTTGTACACTGATGGTTGACAAGGATTGTTGACAATTCTGATTTGACATCATCACATTCATTAATTTCAAAAAAATTCAAAAACTGTTTTTTTCAAATCAACTGTACTAATCTTGCCACATCATACATTGTTAACAAATCTTGTCAATCATCATCGGATATGCAATCAGCCTTCATAGTACATGTAGCATAATTGTACATGTATATGTATGTGTACTATGTGGATGCTCAAAATACTGATCCCCATGTGCCATTCTATGCTTGACATCACTCGTTTTCACTTTTCTCTCAATTGAAAGTGATTTGTCAACCACTAAATCCTCAACCCCACAATTTTATATTCCTATTATAGATTTGTTCATTTATCTATTCGAATTGCGTCATCATTTTGTTTGAAACGTTAAATTGAAAATCACTATATAAATAATTTACGTCCTTTTTTTTTTTTGCCAATTTGTGTCAAGTTCAACGTACAAGACCCGTAAATAGAGCGGTGAACTAGACATTGACAAGACACCTTTGATGCACCTTCTTGATTTTTATTTTTTTTTAATATTTTGTGAAGAGTAAAGCAAGTTTCTTGCAATCTTTGACAATTTTTTTTAGAATAATTCTCGTTGTACATAATTATTGTACATAGAGCATGACATAACACTGACATGTGGTGGACCCCACCAAAATGGTGGGCCCCACCCCATGTGAGTGTTATGTCATCCTCTATGTGAATAATTATGTACCCCAAGCAAGACCCTTTTTTTTAATGGGAACTTCTATTAGAGTTGGGCAAAATTCGATCGAACCCGTCCAAACCGTCCAAATAAATCGGGTTGGGTCATTTTTTTGTTGTTTTTACACGGGTTGGCTGTGTAGGCAGGTTGGGTCGGGTCAGGTTATGAGTTAACTCAAGAAAACCGAACAAACCCGCCCAACCCAACCCGCCACTTAAAAAAAAAAGGAAAAATAAAAATATGAGTAAATAAAATGTCTAGAAAAGTAAAAGAAACCTAAAAAGTATGAGTAAATAGTGTAACTGTAATTACCTGGTGTATTTTAGAGGAGGAGCTTAATGTTCTTCCCACAAAAAATGTAGCATAAATTTTTCATGTTATGTTAAAGGCACTTTGTTTTTTGTAGGCTCAGCTAATGAGGATTGAATAAGACAATAAATAATTTTATTTATTTATTTACTTACTATTTAATCTTATCTATTCGAATTTAGTATAATAGAAAATTGGATGACTTTAATTTTTGTTAACAAGTTGTCCCAAACCGACCAATCCAATCCGACCGATACTTGATTGGGTTGTGTTGGGTTGGGTTGTAACCTTTACACGGGTTGGGTTGGATTAAATTTTGATCAAACTGACCATGTTGTGTTGGGTTTGAGTTGAGTTGAGTTGAGGCAAAAACCGACTCAATCCAACCCATGTCCACCCCAAACTTCAACTATTGTAATTTTACTACTTGATGAATTTTTATTACTATAACGCAAAATAAAACAAGAAAAAATCTACAATTTGAGTGTAATTGATGCGATTAAATCATTCTGCTCAATGTTGTACATTTTGTAAAGGTAGTAAACTGTAATCGCCAAAGAAGTCGAGAAATTGTATATTTATGGTATTTCCATTACAAACCTTAGTCAATCATATGGTTCTTTAAAGAAACATCCCACAATTTGAACTCTTCTAACTCGAAAAATAATTGTTATGGACACTTTGAGAATAATTCTGACCCAATTTACGAACGAACTATTAGATGTAAGGTCTTTGTCGATGTGTTCTCTCTTTGGGTGTCAATAAATTTATCATTTACACATACGACATTGTTGTGAGCCTATTTCCTTTTATTTATTTGGATCATCCTATGTACAATGTCGTTATGGCAGGAACTAGAAGTATTCCTTCTTTATGTAAAGCTTAATTTGCACGAAACTATTTGAAGAACTAGAATTTTAGCAGTATGTGACATCCCTTTTTAGTTTTGATTTGTTTTGGAACCATTCTGTTTTGACTCTTTTCCACATTCTTACCAGGTGATCCAATCTTAGGAGCGAAATAATTATAAGAATCTGAATCAAACATGGCGAGTTAATATGTAGGAACTGCTCGTAAGAGCTGTAAGTTTGTGAACTGCAATATACAAGCTGCTGAGAATTAGCCTGCAAACGTTCTAGGTGCATGCTTTTGTTTTGGAGCCACCTTAGTCTGAGAAGATGATTCTCCAACTTAATCAAGCAACTGAGCTATGATCAAGAATCGTTGGAACAATCTGGGAGGTGCTACAGAACAGTCCCTCACAGCACCTACGGGTTGTGTTGGCTTGGGCAGAAGGGCGGCCCCACCCAGAAACAAAAGTATATGTCACATTGAATGACCCCAAGAGAAAAATTATCTCTTTAGGAGAAAAAGAACCCGTCAAAGCTTAAAGTGATGAAGGAAATAATTATATCCAGACCTTTCAATTGAAGCACAAAAATAATGCATTGACTTGAAACGGGAAACTAAAATAGTAGCCAAACGAGAGAAATACGGCTGCTGTGTTGGTTTCTAGAACAAGGAATACCATGAATCTAATTTCTCATATATTTCATGCTCAGCATTTATA